ATAATATTAAGATGTTATAATAATGAAATAAGCAAGAGAGGTAGGCACAGCGAGACAAAGAGGATAAGAGACAAGGAGGCTTACCCATGTCATAGGCTCACTCAGAAAACTCCAGTGGAGTGGATCTTCCAAAGAGAGAGAGCTCCTTCCCCACTGGTAGTCAGCTCTTAAATGGGTCTAGGAGAGGTAGAGCCAGGCTCCACCCCTTCCTGCAGCACAGGTGAATTGCTTTCACCTGTGCTCCCAGGGCTGACTCATTGCTCACCTCAGGTGACTAATCAGAGCTTCAGGCCGTGACTCAGCAGTTCCCATACAAACACCAACTAACAGAATTTCCTAGAAAGTTAGGAAGAGATCTCTGGTGAGATGTGAATTGACATAGAACAAGTGATCTTTTTTATAATGTTTTAGACTTTTCTAAAAGATAACTTTGGTGCAAAATCTTTGAGGTGTCTCATGGCACTCTGAGAATAACTTCCCTTAAATGCTTCAAAATGTTTCTATGTTCACTCAGCATAAATAAACAAAAGATTTGGACTTGAGCATTAAGCTGACCTTAATAAGTAAAATACTTTGAGCTCAATGTGAGCGCATCCCAGAGACCTACAGCGGTCACTGATGTAGACTGCCCCAACCATGTGCTTCATATGTACAGCAGTCACACAAAACAGACAGAGTCGAGTCCCTTTCTTCCCCTCAGACTGGCAGATACAACAGGGCATTAAGATTATATATAAGGAAAAAGCTTTTTACAGTAAGGGTAGTGAAACATTGGAACAGAGATGCCTTAGCCCTAGGGACATTCAAGGGCAGTCTGGATCAAGCTCTGAGTAATCTGATCTAGCTGTAGATGTCCCTGTTCATTGCAGGAGAGTTGGAGTAAATAACCTTTAAAAGTTCCTTCCAACTCAAACAACTCTATGACACTTTCTCCTTCATACCTCCGTGGGTTTGTAGAGCTCTGCAGTTTCTTCTCAGTCCAGGACATCCCTGGTTCATAATCGTAGCTGCAAAGTCCAGATTGATCTTCCTGGAAGCAGCACCTGTACTTTGATAGCTCACTGACTCAGTGACAGGGAGGTTTGTTTCTTGTCAATGCCTCAATTTTTGCTATATCAGGTCAGTGTCTTAGTGTTTTTGCTTACTGTTCCCCCTTCTTTTCTTCTTATCATTCTGATCCAGAAATATTCAATCAGACGACCTTGCTTAAATCAATATTCACAGATTTCATCTCTTTCTTTATCAATTAGTGCAGCTGTTCATGTTTGGTTCCCATTGCTGCATCCTTTTCTTATTATCCCTGACCAGATACTCTTAAAGGAGAGGACACTCACTTTCTACATACTCCTACAGAGATAACTGTAATGAAGGTCTAAAATATTCTGGGAATGCTTTAGCAGAACATACCATTGTAAGTTTAGCAAAAACAGCATAAATTCTCTAACATTTATGGCTATGTGTGGTAAGGAAATGTATGTTGATTTCTCCTATTCTTTTTATTCATTTGAAATTTTTCCCTAAAGAGACTAGGTGGTCAAATATATCAATTGAAAACAAAACAAAACATTCTCTCTAAAAAGAATGGTGGTCCCCACTTTTTTTTTTTTTTTTACATACTGTTACAAATTTTTGATTTTTCTTTGGGTTTTTTTGTTTGTTTGTTTGTTTTTTGTTATTATATACAAGCATATGTAGGATTGGTTAACTTTCTGTGTTTTGTCCATGTTTAGAATACAGGGTGTTTTTAAGCCAAGAGTACGTTGTAATGCTTTCCCACGTTTATATACAATATCAAACAGTTAGTTTCATCCAGAAGATCATTACTGGGTCAACATATCTCAGGACACAGGTCTGAAAATGGTTGAGCAATTACATTGATTTTCTTTAACCACAATAGATATTCATATTAAGTAGCTTAAGTATTGTTTATTAGCCTCAGCATTTCTATGTGAGAATAAAAATACCACTTGACATTTCTAGAGCACCTCCTGGTTTTGAATTTCAGAGTGATCCATCAATAACAAATTTCATTAGAATTTGAAATCCCACATTTGCATAGTGAAATTTCTCCTAATTATTATACTAGGAGCCATCATAGAATCATACTGAGATAATGTGTACCAGTCTTGTATTATGAGCTTCCTGACTAAGCAATACAACAAAGAAACTGGCTGTTATACTTCCAAGTTAGATGTGCTATGAGCCAGAACCAGTCCAAAACTAGTTTGGCCCAACTAAAAAAATATCAAGCTGAACAGTAGGCATAGGATGTACCAGCTCACTTGTGTATTTCCTTAAGGTATTTTAAGTATCTTCCAGCAAAAAGCTGGCTCACATGTAATCAACTGAACATGTATCAGGCATATTAGGAAGAAAAACAATTGTTTGAAGATATGCATGTAGGCATGCCTTATGTATAGGGATACAGGAAATTCAAATGCATATCACAAGTTCTAGAGAGCCTGCTCCTCAAAAACTCCCTACTCTGACACGATTTTGGAGTTGCTTTTTCTAGCTTTTTATTTCCAAGGTAAGGTCAACAACAGACTGAGCTTGTTTAGGCCTGAATATGCAGCCTATCTATTTTTTTCTTTTTCCTTTTCTGTTATGTTCTCCAGTGAAAACTGCTTGTTTGTCTTTCATATGGAAACTTAAGGTGACTTCAATTGTTACTTACTAGAGGAAATCAAATGGATTGTATGTGAAATCAAATATAAAAATATATCACCATGGCAAAAGGTGAAAATATACTTTTGGTATGCAGCCAAACTGTCATTTAGGACTAGTATATTTGATTATGTTTTCTGGGTGAGTTGGTTTATGAAGAACTCAAAAAGCACTGAGAGCTGCACCAAGTCAATGGGAAAAATACACGAGACTATTAGATGGTGATATATTCAAATGAGATCTGTATAAGTATTATGAGAAGACCACTCTGTATGTGTATTACATATGATACGAAGTGGAATGGCATGGCTAGCTTCAGAATGTCAATGAATATAATGTTGTGGGATTTTATTGTCACCTACAATTTTTTCTTTTCAAAAACATTGGAAAAATAATGCTGTAGTACTGCAAAACTTGAAAACTGGAAGTAAAACAAATCGTTGTTTAGTGCA